ATGAGAAGAACTCATCTGAAGAAGAAGAAGTTCGTAATGAGAAGAACTTATTCAACATTTTGTTCGACTCTATCGTAGAAGGATATAGAGCAACATCAATGTTCAACCTTTTGCTAGATTTCATTGCAGAAGGAGGATAATCATCATTTCCAGTGGAAGAGTTCATAATAAGAAGAACTCGTCCGAAGTGAGCAAAAAGTTCATAATGAGAAGAACTTATAGCTCAAAAGTTTGAACAATTCAAGCTAAAAATGGTGTCTTTTGTCTTTGCTCCATTCATGTTCCACAACAACGAGCAAATAGGGGCAGTTGTAATCACCATTTTTAAAATAACAGCAGCCCGTCCACGTTACAGCTTCACTCGACGGTTCCAGCAGTTTCCAGAGGAACACCAGTTGTCCCTCCACGTCGGTAGCTCTACCACAATAGTGTTCCAGTTCCTTCCAGCAACACTAGCTATTCCCTGCTCTATTAAGTAGATTTCAGAGGAACACCAGCTGTCCCTCCATGTTTCAGAAGCTTTCGGTAGCTCCACCCATGGCCTCTCGAACACCGTCCACGTTCCAACAACAATAGTATATCCCCTATCCAGCAGCTTCCCAGTTACAGCTCACCACAAAAAAAAACAATCATTATTTATTTTTTAATCATATAAATAGGTTAATATATATAACCTATAAAATTACAGTGTAAGAAAGGATTTTTTTTTGAACCTATTCGAAATCAATACAACAACATTTCCAAAAGTTCATTTTTTCGTTACTCGTTCTCTTCTTTATTTTCTTGTTTTTTCGAGTAGAAATATAGGAAGAGGGGGGTGAGTTTACCTTTCCTCGAGCTCCTCGTCGGAATCTAGAGCCGGTTTGGTCCTTGTTTTTGTGTGGAGCTCTCGGTCGAGCAAAAGAGAGAGGAGGAAGAAAGCCTCTTAGAGGCTGTTTGGTCTCGGTTTAATGGCCTATTTGGCCATATTTATCGTGGCCGGCGTCATAGCCGGCGACGTTGCTGAGGAGCTTTGAAGCTCTCGACCGCATATTGAGTTAGAGAGGGAGAGTGTGAGAGAAGAAGATGATAAAGAGGGAAGGATTTTCTTTAGTTTTAACGTCTCTGGAAGAGATAAAAAGGGAGTGGTTTTCATTTTAATTATTTTGGGTAAATCACGCGTCAGGTCACCAGTTTCTGGGAGCTTCTGGCTTTGTTCACATATTTTATGGATTAATCACCAAATGGTACCCATAATTTCAACACCTTTTTTTTCGTTTTAGTCACTAATTTAGTGGTTAATTATCCTTAGGCCCTCAAAATTTAAGCATCTATTTACATCCTGGTCACTAACCCAGGGTCGAATTATATATAACCCACTAAACTTTTACCTTATCTTTATATTATAGTCACTTAAAATAGAAAAAATCCCTAAATAATCCCTATAATTTAGGTACATATTTACACTTTAGTTCTTGATTTTTTTATTTCAAAATTAGCTGCTATATTTTTATTTTCTTTCATTTTGATATCTATGATTTATTTTATTATATTTTAATTATTTTAATTCTTTCTTTTAATCTTCTGAGTTATTTTATTTTTGGGCATTATATTCAATATCTTTTATTTTAGTTCTTTACTTATATTTTAATTTATACGATTTATTTTATTTATTTAATTTCATTACTTTAATTTCTATTTTTGTTTTACATTTTTTAATTCTTTAATTCTAGTTCTTTAACTATTTCGCTTTATTTTATGTTTATTTTCATATTAGTCATATAAATATATATTTGTTTAAATATTAATATTTATTTATTTTTAATATTAAGAAATGAGCTGTCTTAAAGCACCTAGAAGTCTTTTTCTGATATTCTTAAATAAATAAATATCCTATTTTTATAAATTATATATATTAATTTATTTTAATTATTTTTAGAAAAATGTTTTTTTAGTTATTTATTTATTTTTTAATATCGAAGAAAAGAGCTGTCTTAAGGCACCTAGAAGTCTTTTTCTGATATTTCTAAGTAAATAAATATCTTATTTATAAAAATAAAGATATGTATATATTAATATATTTTCTTAAAATTACATTAATAAAATTGAAATAACATGATTATGAATTAAATATATTTTTGAACTTTTAAAATTTCCAATAATAGAGACAATTTATAATTAATAAAGTACCAATTTTGGGCGTTGTAGGGGTGCTAATCCTTCCCTAAACGTAACCGACCACGGATCCTTTTTTATTTATAAAAAGAATGAATTTTTGGTTAAACGCAGATCAATTTATCTTTTAATTGATGTTTTCTTAAAAACTCTTTTAAAAGATATTTTTTAAGTATTCGACCTACCTGACCCAAAAGGCCGATGGCGACTCCCAAATTATTTCAAAACCATTTATTCACATTATTTTTCACGTCAAGTAAAAAATTCGTGCCCGGATGAAAACCAGTTACGGCATTGACCTCGTGAAGGTCACTGAGGAAATGAAGTCGTTCAAGGCATACAACAAGCTCCGTGTTGAACGTATGAATGAGCGTCATATTGGTGCTACTCTCAAAATTTAATTAATGTCTTTGCAATGAATCTTAACCCCTAAACCTTAAATCATAAATCCTAAATTTTAAACTCTAAACATTAAACCATAAATCATACACTATAAACCCTAAACCCTAAATTATACTTACATCATAAATCGGTACCAAGTCGATTAATTAATATATTTGCAATGAATCCTAAACCTTAAACCTTAAATCTTAAACCATACACCATAAACTATAAACCATAAACCTTAAACCTAATTATGTGATAGGAGTTAAGTTATGCACATGAAGGTAACATACAAATTATGCAAAATAATGTTATGTGACTCCTAAATAAATCATTTGCATACTTATACATAAACATATCAACATGCAAAATAAATATACACAACTAATTAAAGAAAACAATCCTAAATAGGAACTAAATAAGAGAAAACTAAATGCGAAGACTAATTTAAGCTAAATATACTAACTTTAGAATGATGATAAATTCACGTAAATGTAAAATTAAACTTACAAAATTGGAATTAAACCAATGACTTAAATACAAAATACGAATAAACTATAAGGTCTTTTATTCTATTGATTCTATTCGGTTTAAGCTAAAATAATATGGAAAATAACATAAATGACACCTGAACATTTAAAACAAATAAGAAAATTTAAACAAATGTGATTGAAATACAAAAATTAAAATATAACATATCAAACTATAAATTTATTAAACGTGCATATACATATTAAACTAATGACTAAATTTAAATAAACATAAAATTCAATATACAAATCAAGAATTAAATTAGGGATTTACAAAAGGACGCTCAAGTTTGGGGGACTATAACTTAATTTACCAAAAATTAATATGAAACTTAAATTTAACTAAACCTAAACTAAACTCATGCACACAAAATACCAAACACAGCCGCACATCCCCTTTATTCTCCAACAGCCTCTCTCGGCAGCTCTCTCAATCCCATCTCTCCCTCTCACGCACATACGGTGCCACTCTCAACATGATGGTCCTCTTCTTCTCCGGCGAAGACCCTAATACAATAGGGTAAACCAGATCGAAAACTTTTACCCTTTAGGATTAAATATATTTTTGAACTTTTAAATATATTTTTGAACTTTTAAAATTTCCAATAATAGAGACAATTTATAATTAATAAAGTACCAATTTTGGGCGTTGTAGGGGTGCTAATCCTTCCCTAAACGTAACCGACCACGGATCCTTTTTTATTTATAAAAAGAATGAATTTTTGGTTAAACGCAGATCAATTTATCTTTTAATTGATGTTTTCTTAAAAACTCTTTTAAAAGATATTTTTTAAGTATTCGACCTACCTGACCCAAAAGGCCGATGGCGACTCCCAAATTATTTCAAAACCATTTATTCACATTATTTTTCACGTCAAGTAAAAAATTCGTGCCCGGATGAAAACCAGTTACGACATTGACCTCGTGAAGGTCACTGAGGAAATGAAGTCGTTCAAGGCATACAACAAGCTCCGTGTTGAACGTATGAATGAGCGTCATATTGGTGCTACTCTCAAAATTTAATTAATGTCTTTGCAATGAATCTTAACCCCTAAACCTTAAATCATAAATCCTAAATTTTAAACTCTAAACATTAAACCATAAATCATACACTATAAACCCTAAACCCTAAATTATACTTACATCATAAATCGGTACCAAGTCGATTAATTAATATATTTGCAATGAATCCTAAACCTTAAACCTTAAATCTTAAACCATACACCATAAACTATAAACCATAAACCTTAAACCTAATTATGTGATAGGAGTTAAGTTATGCACATGAAGGTAACATACAAATTATGCAAAATAATGTTATGTGACTCCTAAATAATCATTTGCATACTTATACATAAACATATCAACATGCAAAATAATATACACAACTAATTAAAGAAAACAATCCTAAATAGGAACTAAATAAGAGAAACTAAATGCGAAGACTAATTTAAGCTAAATATACTAACTTTAGAATGATGATAAATTCACGTAAATGTAAAATTAAACTTACAAAATTGGAATTAAACCAATGACTTAAATACAAAATACGAATAAACTATAAGGTCTTTTATTCTATTGATTCTATTCGGTTTAAGCTAAAATAATATGGAAAATAACATAAATGACACCTGAACATTTAAAACAAATAAGAAAATTTAAACAAATGTGATTGAAATACAAAAATTAAAATATAACATATCAAACTATAAATTTATTAAACGTGCATATACATATTAAACTAATGACTAAATTTAAATAAACATAAAATTCAATATACAAATCAAGAATTAAATTAGGGATTTACAAAAGGACGCTCAAGTTTGGGGGACTATAACTTAATTTACCAAAAATTAATATGAAACTTAAATTTAACTAAACCTAAACTAAACTCATGCACACAAAATACCAAACACAGCCGCACATCCCCTTTATTCTCCAACAGCCTCTCTCGGCAGCTCTCTCAATCCCATCTCTCCCTCTCACGCACATACGGTGCCACTCTCAACATGATGGTCCTCTTCTTCTCCGGCGAAGACCCTAATACAATAGGGTAAACCAGATCGAAAACTTTTACCCTTTAGGTTTCGAACTACCCAAATAAACCACTTTATTTCCCTACTGGTTTGATTCATAATGGGAAGGTTTTGAAGGATGAAACTACTTTTGCTGATAATAAAGTCTCCGAAGATGGCTTTCTGGTTGTCATGCTTAGCAAGGTATATACAAAAGGAAAAAAATCTTCAATTAATGTATTTCTTACTTTTATGTTTTGCTCATATTGCTTTTTTGCTTTGATAATTACCTGAGTATTTGATTTATCTCCCATGAAAAGTTGTTTTAATTAGTGCAATTTCTTTCGTAGTTTAATAAATTTGTTGTTCTTATGGATGGTTAATTTGGGTTATTGAATTGACTTCGCCTTGCAATTGCTTTTGGTGAACTGTCTTCATTGTTTAATATGGATATATATACGGCTTTCATTGAAAGTTTTAGGCTTTATTTTGTAAAATTTTGAACTAATAGTTTAATGCCTGTTTTTGAACGAAAAAAAATTGTTAGCTTCTTCTATATAGTAGAGTAGTTTGATATCTCTGAATAATTTTAGCAAATTCTGGTTCACGTGGCCCCTTTCTAAGTGCTTGCAGTTTTTAGTACTAATACATTTTCAACTCATTGTTTTTTTTTCTTCCAGAGCAAGTCTTTGGGTTCAACCGGTGTTTCGTCTGCTTAGGTTTTCATACTCATTTTGATAATTTCTTCTTATTAAGTTGAGCATTATACTCCAGTTTATGTATATAAACAACTTCTTTCTTCTCTTCCTCGACAGCCGGCTTCATCAGCTCCCTATACAATTGCACCTGCTTTTAATTCTACACTACACCTGCTGCTGTACACGATCTATGCCCTTCGAAAATCTTGGTGAACTTTTTTTTTCGTTCTTGTGTATCTTTTACCTGTATATCTGAAAACTTAAAAGAGAAAATCTTTCGCATGTGGCAACATTTAGGTTTTCCAAAGTGGAGATCCCGCTGCTGCTGAAGTTGTGTTGTCGAACATTGTAACAACCCGAAAATTTCAAAATAATATTTAATTGGGAATTGAGGTTTTAATTGTGAAACTTGGTGGATTTTTGGGGATTAAATTGGAAGTTTTTAAAACTTGTAGCTTGTTTTAGAGTTAAAGAAAATTCAGGGACCAAGCCCTGAATTTACTCAAAAAAATTAGGTATTTGGTTTATATATATGATATATGCGTGAATTGGGTTCTGAAAATCAGAACCCAATTCCTCCCAAATTTCCATTTCCTTACCTCAACTTCCGACGACGATTCCGACACCGTCTGAATTCCGATCGTCGTTTTGAAAGTACCATCGTGTTCGTTATCGAGTCAGGAACAATTCCCTCAATTTAATTGAAGCGAAACGCTGCCAAACGTCGTGAATTTCAAGTCAAAGCATCGACGTTTTTTTTAAGCTCAATCGCCTAGAAAATCCTAAATTCATCGCCGATCGTTGCTTCGTTTACGACACCTCCCGCACCATCGTGTTCCTTGTGCCGTTCCGAGTCCGCCGGTGTCATCCTCGATCTCCGTTGACGGCGGCGCGTGGGGAGGTGGATCAGTCAAAGATTCGGCCAAGTCGAAATCGAGCTCTCCGCCGTTCAAAAATTTGAACCGATCTTTGTAAGTATCTCAAAACCGCTCAAAATAATTTTTAGAAATTTTTCCGTGATTTTTAGAGCCCCGGAGGACGTCGCACGCGCCACACGCGCCGCCGCAGGCAAGTGAACGTTGGAAACTGGTTTTGACCGGTTTAACCGGTTTTGAACCGTTTTGACCGGTTTTGAACCGTTTTGACCGGTCACGACCCGACCCGTTGACCGTTGACCAGTGCTATTCTGGGAATTAATTCGGTTTTGGTGCTATTCTGGGAATTAATTCGAAATGGGTGCTATTTTGGTAATTTTTTTAAAAAAGGGTGCTATTTGTGTAAAATATTTGACAGTTTGTTGACCTCCTTTGACCAGAACTTTGACCGGCTTTGACCAGCTATTAAACGACCTTTGTTTTCGACCAAGAATACCTATCTTAATAGTTTTCGATGTCCCAAATCTGTTTTTGGGGTCCGTTTCGCTAAATTCAAACCCGAAATTCTCCAAATCGTCAGTCAAATCCGTTGACTTTAATTTTGACCCAGTATTCAAAATTTCGGAAGATCATACTTTATGTTTTTCGACGTCCTGAATTTGATTCCGTTTTGCCAAATTCTGACCCGAAATTCCTGAATCGAGCTTGTAAACCCAAAAGGCTTAATATTTTAATATTTTGATTATTTAAATGAGATTTGGTCAAGGATTTATTCAACAAAAATATTTTATGAAGGTACTCGTGTTTCACCTGAGCAAGGATCAATTAGGTCCGGTGTTATCCGTTCGTTAGATCAGCCTGAACCGCGTACTACGAGAATTACCCGTAGGTTTCCGTATATTATTTAAATAATATTTAGATTATTTATATTAGGATTCCAATATGGATTTTTCTAATTCGTAGGATCTAGCGCTGCAGCAGAAAGTGATCGACAAACCCAATAGTAGGATTCCCTATCCGATTTCTCAGAGTGTGACAGGTGTGTTTCCTGACAGTGTTGTTTTACTGTTTTAAAATATTATTTGAATTATTTCAAAATGGTGATTATTCAAAATATTGTTATGACATGATACATGATATCTGATTTCTGAATAATGGTTACCGACATCTGATTACCATATTTCTGTATATGATTTTCAAGCATGATCCATTTTCATGTTTTAATGGATTAATCACCATTTTTACTCGAATACATATTTGTTTATTACTGTCATTGGGGGGGAAAGAATTGTTGGAGGAAGAAAATATTCCAGGCTCCTCGGCTTTGTGCTCAGGGCCTTATTGGTCGTGACGGGGTGTATGGTTATGGGAACCTACACAATTTGTTCATGACGGATGGGGGTAGTGTTCATATTTTTAAAAAAAAACATGTTTCATAAATCGATTTTTATTGATAATATCTTATTAATATGTTTTTGTACGCTGTATGGAACACACTGGGCTTTTTAGCTCATTCTGTAAAATTTAACCTTTTTCAGATAACAGCAGACCGTAAACTAGCAGATTTGGCATCAGGAGAAATCAACTACTTTATTTTGTACGAACATATATTTCTATATGTTTTTCGGTTATGTTTGATGACATGTATTTTATTATCGTTTTGGACATATCTGTATTATTAATATTATGTTCTATATTATATTTAACGTTCTATAAGTTATATAAAAAAAAACCTCTGAATGGGATATGTGACCACTTAGGTTTGGGTCTAACTCACAGACCGGGTCTAGGGGGTTACATTTGGTGGTATCAGAGCTTTCGGTTTTAAACACTCGGACTGTATATGGGTCCTAAACTTTGAATTTTTAGGAAATAAAAAAAATGTCACCTTATGTTATGATTTAAAGTTTTCTCAAGATCCCTGATGCTAATCTGACATATGTTTCAAATTCTTCTGTAGAGCCTTATAGATCCAACGATGAATACTGCTAGAGGTCGTAGGACAGGACGTGGACGTGGTAGAGGGTGACTCACTCGACCTTCTGTTACGATAGACGATCCGATGTCACCACGTGATCCTCTTGTTTCGCAAGTAGATCCGACTCTTTCTCATGATGATCAGTTTACTCCTATGAGAGACCCTCCCGTCACTGAAGATGAGGATTCTGAGATGAATGAAGACGCCATTAATAGAGCTATCTTCCGCATGTTTCAGAGAGCTGCTAGAGCCCCTAGTAACATGACTGCAGTGGAGATTTCAAATTCTCTGGTTGCTGCTGGTGTAGTACCATTCGAGGGTATTACTGGTGGACCTCCGACAGACGCTGAGTATTGGCTGGAGGACACAGAGAGGATTATGGATGAGATGGACCTCAGACCTGAGCAAAAGTTAAAGGGGGCCCTAACTATGTTGAAGAAAGAAAGCTTCAGATGGTGGCAATCCATTTCTGGTAGTATTCCGAGGAACCAATTAACATGGGATCTTTTCAAGACGCGCTTCCGAAGTCGCTACATCGGAGAGAGATATCTGCAGGAGCGGCGCCAGGAGTTTCAGAATCTGGAGCAGGGTAATATGTCTGTTATGGATTATGAGGTTGAATTCATCCGATTGAGCCGATATGCTCCTGGACTTGTGGACACTGAGACAGATCGATGCTTGAGGTTCGAGAATGGACTCAGGTATGAGATCATGAGTCGAGTCGCTACCCACCGAGAGAGAAATTTTGACGCCCTGGTTGAGATAGCCAAGACTGCTGAGGAAATAGAGCGATAGGGTATAGAGCACAAGAGAGATAGTGATTGAGCCCAGAATCGATTCAGGAGGCCTTCTGGTTCTGTTAATTCTTCTGCACATCCTAGCAAGAGAGGCAGGGGTGATTCTTTTCAGAGAGGCGGTGCAAGTGTCAGACATGTTGCATCTGGTGCTTCAACAGTTCAGTCTTCTAGACATGGTGGTTCTTTTGGGTCGCAACCCTTTCCAACATGTGATTATTGTGGGAAAAATCACTTTGGAGAATGCAGGAAGAAATTGGTCACTTGTTATAAATGTGGGTATGGTGACCATTATTTGAAGGATTATCCGGAGATACCTCATTCTATTCAGACACCAGCTCGTACTCCCGCTAGTTCTCATAGTACAGTTCAGACTCCAGCACGAGGAGGTACTCAGGAGAGAGCACCTGGATTATCTAGTAGAGGCCGAGCATCTCAGAGTAGGGGTCCAGTCAGATCTGAGGCTAGACAACCTGCATTGGTTTACACTGCTAGACTTCGACAAGATCGTGATAGGCCTAATGTGACTGCAGGTACTATTACTATTCATTCAGTTCCATACTTTGCATTATTTGATAGTGGCTCTACAAATTCCTATGTATCCCATTCCATTTCTGAGGGTCTAAATATTCCCGTTGAGAATACTGAGCATTCGGTGATAGTTCAAAGTCCCTTAGGCAAATCCATCGTGTTGGATCGTAATTTTAGAGAGTGCCCTATAGAGATCAATAGGGAGATTTTTCTGGCTGACCTGATGGAGTTACCCTTTGAAGAGTTCGATTTGATTCTTGGCGTAGATTGGTTGGATAAACATCGAGTAAATATTGATTTTGAGACTAAGAGAGCTGTTCTGAAGACCCCAGATAATCGAAAGATTGTAATGATCGGGGAACGACGTGGATTTCTGACGAATGTTGTGTCTGCCTTGGTAGCGGAGAAGATTATCAGGAAGGGTTCCGAGGCGTTTCTTGCTTATATTTTGGACACTAGGAGATCTCAATCCGATATTGAAGGCATCCGAATTGTCAAGGAATTTCCTGATGTTTTTTCCCCAGGAGTTGCCTGGATTACCTCCAGATAGAGAAGTCGAGTTTGTGATTGAAGTCTATTCTGGTTCCACCCCGGTTTCAATGGCTCCTTATCATATGGCCCCAAAGGAGCTTAAGGAACTAAAAGTTCAACTTCAGGAGTTGTTGGACAGGGGATTTATTCGACCTAGTGTATCACCGTGGGGAGCTTCAGTTCTCTTTGTCAAGAAGAAAGATGGGACATTGAAACTCTGTATTGATTATAGAAAACTAAACAAGCTCACTGTTAAAAATAAATATCCTCTGCCCATGATCGATGATCTATTTGACCAATTTCGAGTGGCTTCTATCTTCTCAAAGATAGACTTGAGATCTGGTTATTATCAACTCAAAGTGAAAGATTCGGATATTCCGAAGACTGCTTTCCGTACTCGATATGGGCACTATGAGTTTTTAGTGATGTCATTCGGGTTAACTAATGCCCCTGCTGCTTTTATGGATCTGATGCATA